CCCCATAACCCCAAAACCCCAAAACCCCAAAACCCCTGACGCCAAGATGTCATGGAAATATATACATTATTTTGTAAAAATGGATAGCAAAGAGATTCAACAAGCGTTAAAGAAGTACAACCTTGACAATGATCTTGGCCTTGGTCAGTTCCGAAAGTCGAAGAGTCTTAAGAAAACTTCGCAGTGTAAGTTTCAATGTCGTTTCTGAAGAATTATGGAGCAGTCTTAACAGTCCTTATAGCAAATTCGCAAAAATAAAGTTTGTTCAGAATCTCCAACCAGACAGAAAATGTCAATGGTGTATTACGAAGATGGCTACAAAATGAGGAAGAATCCTCCATCCCAAAAGAAAAATGAACAGTTTGTTAAATTCAAGACAAGAGTGAGTCTTCGATATTAACTGATAGGCTACAAGAAATAAAACTATGAAGAAGCTAGATTTTATCCAAAAGAGGAAATCAGGATGTCTGACAATGAATATAGACAAGCTAAATTCTAACTCAAACACTAAACTGAGGAAGCGATCTAAGAAGCCATATGAGACTGGAAGAAAAGTAGTCCAAGTCTCTCTCAGCCCATCCATTGTGCATGAGAGGAAGAAGAAGGTCAACAAACAAATTGAGAAACTGAAATAAATTAGTTTACATCCATCCTGCTTTGGACTCTATCCGAAATACACGGAAGCAGGAAGATATAGAATATGGAACCTTCAGGACAGATATGAGTCCTTTGAGGCTTCTCAAGAATATCGGCAACATGTACTTACACAATTCTAACTACATGAGGGAAGAAATGGACCACATTAATGAAGATTCTGGCTCTGAAGTAGGAGAAGAAGTCTTGGATGTCAAACGATATGATGATTACTTCCCTCCAGTTGAGTCAATAGAGAAATCTTCCATTCCTGAGTCTATACAGCCTAAATAAATCCTCTATGTATGTTAATTATGTTGATAAGAATGGAGGATTCATGAACATACATGAGAAAATAGATGGAGAAATTGTAATCCCTGAGTTGCCTGAGATATTGAATCTACCTAACATTGACCCATACTTACAGAAAGAAATGCTTGGGAAAATAATCCACAGAATTTCTGCGACAGAAAAAGAAATGGAAAGAGAGTATCAGGCTCTCATAAAACCACCTCCTAGGATAGCATCGCCTCTCAGTGAGTCAAATGAGGAGGAAGTTATTAAATTTAAGAAACCGATGTTCCCCTCTATTTCATTGAACGGCCAAAAGTCTAAATGGAGACTTGACCAGGAAAAGAAGGAGGCTAAAATCCAAAAGAATCTTCGTGATAGGGCTAGGTATGACACCAATAAGCCGAAATACCCATCAAAGAAGGTAGAGAAGAAGCATAATGTGATGCTAGCTATGGAAGGTCCTTACTATTTTGGGGATGTCGAAGTCAAGAGGTTGAAGAAAAAGCTGTATGAGTATAGGTACCCTAAGAGATCACGAACTAAGATCCCATCTCCTCCATCCAATCTAGAGCTCACTGATAAGCTCAAGGTAAGAAAATTCAAAATTGATGGAGTTGATAGAGATAAAAAACAGGAAGCTAAAGTCTGGAAGCAGTATAAGGAAGCCTTTAATGAGGAGAAGAACAAAATTATGGCTGATATGTACCTAAGCAGAATGGCAGCGAAAGCTAAGAAGGAGGAAGAAGTTGATCAATTAAGCGATCCAATTTTGTAAAAACTTAATAAAATTCCTTACCAACAAGCTAGCATTCTTTGCTTTGGTCTAGAATTGACACTCGGCTTAAGCTCAGTGTAACTTAGTTATCTTTGCTAAAAGTTATGCGAGATGATTCAATCTTAAGATTCTAATAAGGGGTTTTGGGGTTTTGGGGTTTTGGGG